CTAATGGTTTCCATAAGGAAAAGGGGGTTCAACTCATGGTTCGTTGAGTGGGCTTTGGCCAAACTCCCAAAGATGGAGTTTGAATTCGAACCCCATTCAGATAAAAATCACTGCCTTAATAAAGTATCGTATGGGTAATCCTGAATTGATGTATATTAGTGGATAAAATGTAATAACAAAAGATTATATCCCATAGCTAACAGGGAAACAATCTAGTGAAATCCAATTTATTTACCACTATAACATGAGTTTGTTAAATATTTTAGTTTTGCTGTAATGGCCTGAAGGCTCTCGAAGAATATTTTAAAAAATTAATTAATTATTCAAAAGGCGTTGCCCTATTGTTTCGAAATGCTAAATACATATGTAAAGTTAACTCAATTTTTCCGCCGCAAACTTTTGCAACTGAGAACGATAAAAGCTGCTACACATTCGCAGCCATTTTGAAAGCCACTTTAACCAGAAAAAGTTGCCAGCATCTTTGGCCTAATGAACGAAACTCCAAACAAGCAAAACTAAACTGCGCGACTGCCAGAGGAAAATGTTGTTTCCAACATTGGCTGTACCGCTGGTTGGGGTAGGGAAAACTAGGGATTTTCCTAACCCCTTTGGGCGAAAATGCAATTTTGTAATTGACTCACAATCAGTCGTGCGGAAGTTGTTTAGCTATGCAATATGGCTGCCAAATGCGACAAACGGATGCAATTTGTGAAATATGCACGAAATAAGACGATAAAGACGCTCAAGTAGGTGGGGCATGCACCAGTCTCGCCCAGACAACCCCATTCCCACAGAGATTGAAATGTCAATCCGTTTATGGGAGTGAGACATGTCCCTGTCCGTGTTTCTGCTCCTGTCTCTCCGCTCGAGTGGAACATGTTTGTCAGCTAGTTTTCGATGCGATTTTTTCTACCGACTGGTAATGGGTCTTAGGGGTATATTAATTTTTCCACGTATTAAAAAATTAACAAGAAAATATAGATTAAACAAAATATTTATAAATATGCCATTTAAATGTTTATTGGTGGGGTTAGGGCCGGTTTCTCGAGTGAGAGTTAAAGTTAGAGTTAATTATCTGTTTAAAAAACTAACGACAATATAAGCCTACCGTAAAATCCAATCCGTTTTCTCAATGTAAGTAATTTGTTCCAACGAGAAACAATAACATTACGCAATATCTTAGTTTGAAATCATGTTAACCGGGAGTTAACTCTTATATAGACGCTTAAGAAAATCAAATTTCCTTAACAGCGACTGTGTTGGTAATGGGATGTAGGGGTATATTAACAAGAAAAAAAAGATTAAACAAAATATTTATAAACATAGTAGTAAAAATAGTTTTCGGTTTCTCGAGTGACAGTTAAAGTTAGAATTAGCTACCTGTTTGAAAAACTAACGACAATATACGCCCGTCGTTAAACCCAATCCGTTTTCTCAATGACGGTAATTTATTTAAACGGGAAACATTAATAATAACATAATTTGAAATCAGGTTAACCGGGAGTGAACTATTATAGGCGCTCAAGAAAATATAATTTCCTTAACAGAGACTGTCCGAAAAATGTTAGCAGGCACTGTTTACTAATTAGAAACCGACTTTTAGTTGATTTTCAGAACCTTTTTTGTACAAATATTTTATAACTGACAATAAATAATAGCTTATAGATGTTAGCCTTATCTTCATTTAGATATTTTTTATACACGTACGTCTAATTTTTAGCACCATATCACCATTTCTTTATCACTTGCCAAAAAAGTACAGTGATAGGTATCTTGTCAGTTGGTATTAGGAAATCGGCATTTCCCTTTCAGCCTGCAGTTGTGCCACAGAATGTTGCCGAAATGTCCGTTTGTCGCCCACATGTCTCGCGCCCGAGTGCCGCTGACAGATGTTCCACCTTTGGACAGGAAGCGGGCTGCGGAGACAAACTGTTTGGCTTCGCCGGGAACCTGGAGGCCGACCTACGTAATAGTTTTTATGTGCGGTTTTCGCTTGAATCCCTGCCTTCGCCCTGCCATAAACGAACAATTTGTGTAATGCATTTGGTGAATGATGAGGTGGGCAGGAGCGTTTGCAGAACGGGTTTGCTGACTGGGGGCGACGGGTTTTTGTGGGTCCATGTCCGGGAAGGAAGTCGTTCTATGCAGCTTCATTTTTTATGCTCACAGTTTTCCGAAAGTTGTGGAAAACTTTGCTTATAAAATGTTTACATATCGACATTTGCGGCGGCTTTGCCGACCATACAAGGGCAGGTATGTTGGCAAACAGTCCGGCTAATAGCCGTATAACGCATTTTCTAAATTCTTACTCATATAAGTGCCAAGATCTTTTGGATGTTTTGCGGTTTGCGTTTTCACTACAGCAATTTGGTTATGACACGCTCTGTACGTTGGACATGTGGCCAGAAATATCTTAACTGATATGCACCTTCTTGTGGCTTTGATTGCTTATTTTCTACAATGTTTCTTCCCTATCTGATATTGATGGAATGTTTAACAAAGGAAACATATATTAGAAATGCTAATATTTCCCGATAATTTAAATTTTTTTTTATGGTTTTTCAACCTAAGCTTTGTTAACTACAAAGCAAACAGATTTTGGTCGAATCAAAGTCGGCATAACGAGGGCTAAATTTGTATCTCAATCTGTTCACAATTATTTATTCATCCTTTTCATCCGCCAATCAAGTTGAATAAACGGTCACTAAGCTTACTGGCTACAAACAAAACAAATAACATTTCTTACAGCATTTTTCTAATTAATAAAAAAGGGCCAAATAAAGAGCGACTTTTGTAATACCCTAAAAAGATTAAAGGACCGAGCGAGGTTAAACTGCTAAGTTACAAATGTACTTTAGTACTATAATAACTATAGTTATCGGTTAACCCAAAGCTTTCCATACCTCTAAAGCCTGATTTTTCTGCAACTCCAAAATTAGACCATCATGAATTAGGGTATATAATGAATTCTTTAACCCGTCTACAGGCCCGCAGGAACAAATGTTTTCTTTTTCTTTTTTTTTTGATGCAAATATCAACAATTAATTTGGAGGCGAAATATGCGCAGCCTCGCAGAAAAATAAATAAACGCCCAGAAACAGAGTCGCAGGCTAAAAGTTGAGGAGGAAAATTGCAAAAAGCAAAGTAAACAACAGGGGGCAAGGTGGAAAAATGTGGGAGATGTCCTGGCAATTAAAGTTGAGACTTGCGAGGCGGATCCAAAACCAGATGAGCAGGTGGCGGAATCTAAGACCTCCATTCTGAGGGAGCAGGTGGCATAATGAAGTCGATTGGAAGTTGAGTTCCCTTGAGCTGGAATAATTTGTTTTAATGTTTATGTTGACGCCCTTGGCATATGCAAAGTAGCTAGAAAATTAACGATAACATTATTATGTTTGCTACTAAATATAAAATTCAAACAGCTAGAATTCATGCCACGGCACACATGGCGCATACTTGACATGGAATTTAAAAGCCCCTTATAGAGCAGGAAAATAATTAAGAGCACTTAGGTCCTTTTAATATTTGGGGTTCAAAGAAAGATTGAAGGTTCCGGGCTGAGCCTGAATATTTTATTGGGCCTTCTTCTGCTTAGTCATCCTGAGAACTTTAAACTTTGATCAGGGCCCAAATAATCGAACCGCATCATTGGCCATCATGTCCGGCCATCGGCGTTGCCTGCTTCATTCAACAAGCCACTTTAATGGCAGCCCAGAGCCCTTCGTTTTCATCTTGCTTTCATTTACATGTCCTGTGGAGAATCCGAACTTCTCCCCGACTCCTCCAGTATCTGTCAGATGTATTTGATTGATTTGTTGGGCAATTTGCCACCGCCTGTTGTTCGCTGGCGTTTGTCTTCGCTCCCAGACCACTTGAATCAGTTTTCTGCCACATTCATGCATGATTTATGTTTGAACATATAAAGCTGCCACTTACGTAGTTGGGGAAAATAAACTTGGACAGCCAGTTGGGTCTGCCATCCCGAACCTGTTCTCCCATTAAGTCGCCCTTTGAACTGGGTCTCTGGCCAAAATGTCTGTCGCGGATCTAGGGTTAAATCAATCAATGACTTAATGGCTTGTTGTGAATATATTCCTAAGGCCAATCTATCAAGTGTCACTTCTGGCGATAATTGGATTAATAAATTACTCGCGAACTGCTTAATAAGGCTGCAAATCAAAACAAATCTAATTATTGTTTTTATCATGTTCCGGCGCAGAGATATGTTCGAATAAAATGTCATTTCAGCTGTATGTCTTTCCTTGAGGTCACCATTGAATTTTTATACAATTAGAATAAGTTAGCGCCTAAAGATGTGCTAATAGATTTTATTTTAGATTTAAAAATATCTTTTACTTACTTCAGAACTTTTTAAATTATTTTTTTTGTAATCTAAGACGTATAGGTAGTCAAAAGTTCCAAGGTGAATGGATATATATCTGCCAATTGATGGTTCGTAATTATGACCAGCTGAATAACTAGTCGTATGCGTAATAACAGCATTAATTAATTCTGGAAAGTCGACTCCAGTTTATGGCAGACAATTGGGTAAACACAGCTGGGCTAATTGATGGTGGGCGACATTTTCCTTTGATCTGATTGACCATTTTCCTGGTTTTCCTTCCTTATTTTTCCCACTTTGTATATGTGTGGACAAACAAAGACTGGGCAACCAAGTCCTGATTGATTGAGTTTCTGTTTCTGTGGCAAGAAGGCCTTCAGTTAATGGATCAATGGTTCTGTTTAGTTCACTGCAATGCTCATGCTCGTGTACCCTCTATAGTATGTTGTAATAAAGTCAATCCGGTCTGTGGAAAACAAATTGGATTCTCAGATTGCGGTTAATGCAGTTAACTTTTTCTTTACTGGGAAATTCAACTGCTTTTTAAGGAAATGATTTTATGATTTTGTATAATGTTGAATAAATAATAAAAGGGTAATTATTTCCAGGTCTAGTAAGCAATGACTCTTTGGGAAGTTAAGCCCCTTAACTTTTGCCAGCACATAACTCATTCAACGACTCGATCATACACAATAAACATCTAATACACTGCTTTCAAAAATTTCCTTTTTTTCAAGTAACGATCGATCAATCCTGGTATCAACATGCACATCCCAGAGGTGGACATGTGGAAAGTTTCTCAGAGTAGCCGGATTCACAGACTCTCAATCTTCAATTGCGACAAACCCGGATTGAAAGTGCTGGACTATGCGGCCGTGCGAGGAGTCGACTCGTTCTACTTGGACTGCCAGAACTACAGGGATTACTTCAAAGATCCGTACTGCCGGGTCCACAAGCCTCCGAGGTTTAGTTCGTATGGGGGCAGGTGCGGTGTGAAGTTGGACACCGACGTTGAGCTCCTTAGCATGCCGACCTCGTGGGGCATCGATCGCCAGCCCATCGTCTATCCGATCGATTACCACTCCGATATGGCCCTTGGCAGAAGGGATTGCGATCACATAAAGGCCTTCTGTTCCCGAGCCGAGAGTCTAAGCTTCAAGCGATAGGATCGTCAAATAGTACGGGCTTCCATTGTTGCTAACTCTTTACCAGTTTAAATACAGTTTTCAGCACTGCAAAATGAAGAGCTTTGTTTGATTTTTGGATAGTCAGCTTTATTCATAGGTTATTCATTGATTGAACTTTTTCTTGGCACCAATTAAGATTGATAAAATTATAACAAACATAGGGATAACTATATAGTTATGTTTGCTCATCAAGGCTTTTCTCACGTTTCTCCTGAATCAATTGAAATCGCCTCTGATGTTTGTTTCGACCGTCTGTCAGTCTGAATCTGTCTATCTGTCACTATATATCATATATCCACCTGCATCTGTTGGTTTCCATCAGTTCGGTTGCACTTTTCACCCGCCTGCTGGCGTGCAAATTGATAATGAATTTAATTCCCCTGCACACACATTCGCACACAATGGCGGGGAAAGCGGAAAATGGAAGGGGAAAAGCCGGGGAAGGCGGAAAAAGGAAACATGGCGACAGCACTGCCAACATGTGATGTACGCGACAAGTGAACTTTGTCTGTTGTCGGAAAATCTAATAACCGACAGCGAGCAAACACACAATAACACGCTTTTCCAGCTACTGTGGCAGTCGCTGTGTATTGCCGGGTTTTAATTTGTGTCGGGACCTGCATACTAAGTGGTGGCCAGCCGCAGTGGTATCGAAGGATACCAGCGTAGGACTGATTGAATTGAGGGGGCGGAACGGGGCGTGGCAATTCCAGTTTATCCAACATGGAGTCATTGCCCTCTCATCCGGCTGGCTGATTAAGCATACGCCGTGTGTGCGAGCCCGTGAAAAATACACCAAATGCATTTTAGCGGGTGCCAGATTTGAAGCCTATTATCATTGGCAAGGCCAACTATATAATATTGTTTTTGGCAACTCAATTTCCATCAGCATAAATCACAACTCGGCTGCAGTTCATTTGCATAGTCCCGGGCTCAACAAAACGAAAATATCCACAAAATTTGTTAAAAAATCTATTTCAACTTTGCAGACAAATCAAATCTTCGGCTAGAAATTTTACGGCAGCCTGGAAAGTTTTATTTTGTGGAGTACAATAGATGGCCGTCCACAGAGGGCATTAGATTGATATCCAAATAACCATTATTAAAAGTGATATTAATCAAGGATGTAATTTATACAAGCTACTGCGCAATCCGTACGTGAATTAAAATAGTTTGGAGTCTTATCACACCCTCCATAGGTAAAGCTAACACATTTTCCGCCCTTGAAGGTCCAGGCGGGAAAAGCGGCCCTGCACATCCCGGTGACAGAAGGAGGAGCGTTACACTTTTCTACAAAGGTAAAGATTGAGATGCAATGCTAATTTAAAGGTTTAAGATTTGTACCTGTGTGTGGACCAATACGAACGGAAAGGGTCAATTTAGAAAGAGTCACAAGTGCGAGGGCAGTCAAAAATATTTTGTAGTTCATGTTGTTCTGGTTGCTGCGAGCTACTAAATAATCGAGTTGCTGTGGCTTAAGTTAAAACAAACTTACAAGTAATTTAGTTAATGTGTTAAATTTGAAACAATTTGAAAAGGTTATATAATAGTTTCAGATTGTTGTTAATTAGGTTAAAATAAAACAAGGAAGATCGCTATAGTCGAGTGCCTCGACTATCAGATACCCGTTACTCAGCTAAAGGGACAAAAAGGATATGCAAGCAAAAAAGTGAGATTGAAATGCGCCACCTACCCGCGATCTCAATATATGGTTACGTGAGCGGTATACAAATTTAAGCGTTATGGACGTTAGAGTGGGCGTTGCAAATTGTCAATCGATAGGTACAGACGATACTAATACATTTCAGTTAAAATTTTTTTCTAGCAAGAAAATAGGTGGCGCTAGAGGTTTAGGCGGTTTGTGGCCGTTAGGGTGGGCGTGGCACCTTGTTGAAACAAACATGCGCTGCGCAAGAAGCTCAAGAATCTGCATGCAAAGTCCCAATAGCCTAGCTCTTATAGTTTCCGAGATCTCTGCGTTCATACGGACAGACGGACATGGCTATCAATAATATATATACTGTATGGGGTCGGAAACGCTCCCTTCTGCCTGTTACATACTTTCCGACGAATCTAGTATACCCTTTTACTCTACGAGTAACGGGTATAATAACTACTATATCGTACACACACTTCGTCACTTCGTGGACTGCACCCACAGTGATAGCTGTTATAGGATGAATCGAAACATTTTTTTCAAAATAAAACAAAATTCGTTATATTTAGTTTTGGCAAAATATATGCGATAGCAAATTGAAATATAACATTATCATAATATTTCTGTGAGTATTATTTTATTTTCTAAAAACCTGTAAGCCCTTTATATATAATGCTCCCATACGAACGACATGCAAGGGTATATAAACTTCGGCTTTCCGAAGTTAGCTTCTTATCTTGTTTCATCACATTTTGGGCGAGAATGGAAATTGTCAGAAACTTTACGGCAGCTCGAAAGTTTTATTTTGTGGAATACAAAAGACGTCCGGCCTTGGTGGGCATTAAAGGGTTATCCATATAAAATTTGACCTTAGCCCAGACATTGCTCTTTGCACTCCGACTCCAGTTCGAATATATTTTGCGTGCTGTAACATCCTCCGTAGGTAAAGGACTCGCATTTTAGCCGCTCCTTGATGAAGTGCCACATTTGAAACGATGCCTTGCAGGGTCCAGTTTGACTGGGTACATCATCGCAATTCCCTTGGAAATTGTGTACGAAGTCATCCAACAGTTCCCGCAATTATCAAACATTTCAACTTACGCGCATTGTACGCCCAGATCCCAGCCACAAACAAAAACGAAACAAAGATCAACCCATACAGAAATTTCATTGTAGATTCTTTCAAATTTCGCCTTGATTACTTTTGATTACTTTGGCAGGGCTGAAGTCGGACGTCCGAATTACTCGGTGTACTTAACCTCGCCCAAACCCATGCACAGTGTTTCGCAATCGCCTCCATTGTCGAAGAAATTCTCCGTTCTGTTGCAACCACCCCAGTGGAACATGATGCACTCCTTGAGGCTGCTGGAGTAGAACCACCTAGCTTTGTAACGCTTACAGGGTCCCGTCAGCGTAGGCCTCTTGTCACACTTTGCTTGGGGGAATCTTGAGAATATTAAATGAATTCCAAGTATAATCAAATGGTTCTAACCCTTCAGACCGGTCGAGAATCCAAGAGACAGCAATGCGATCGCTATGGCAAGCCAAAGTATTTTTTGACCCATGATGCTCTATAGGTGAGGGAAAAAGATTTGCCAAAATGTCAAGATAATAAAGATGTTTATCTTCGCTTGGATAAGCGAAGCAAATTACCAAGCAATTTCAAATTTAACGCGAGCGGAAGAGATTCGTTTTTATTATTATATATATTATAAACGACCGCTACTCGTTTAAATAACAATATTTTTGATCTTTTTAACTGATCGAATTACATTATTATATTATTTTATGAATACGAAAATATTAATGAATATGATGAAAAAACATGTTCGCTGATATTAGTGCAACATATCACTTGAGCAATGTTAAAGAAAGTAAATCTATAGTTTTCCTTTGGTTTTTTATTAATTTTTAATTTATTACTTTTTGTTTATTTGAACATATTAAATACATGTTTTATTTTAGGCAAGCGGCTTCGCATTCCTTTATCGATTCAAAATAGTTTGGAGTTGCGCCACACCCTCCATAGATGAAGTTAGTACATTTTTTGTCCTTGAAGGTCACGACGGAAAAAGCGGCCCTGCACATTCCGGTTTCAGAAGGAAGAGCGTCACACTTTTCTACAAAGGTAAAAATAAATATGCAATGCTAATTTAAAGTTCCACTAGTTATACCTTTGTTGTAAGCCAGAGCAAAAGTGAAAAGAGTCACAAGTGAGAAGGTAGTCAAAACTATTTTGTAGTTCATCTTGTACCGCTTTCTTCTAGTGGCTGAGTGCTACTAAATAATACAGTTGATGTGGTTAAAGTTAAGACTTACTTACATTTCACGAAAACAAGTAATTCAATTAAAGTGTTAAGTTTAAGGTTATACAATATTTTCGGATGGATGTAAGTTAGGTCCATGAAAAACTTGGCATATAAAATAAACTCTAAAACACTCTTTGTACTCAATTTATGTTGTTTTTGGAGAACATGTTTGACTTATAACATAACTTCATGTCCAACTTTTGAATGATCCATATACATGAGTGATGATTTGGTAATTTCGGAACATCGCAAGCTACTTCGCATTGGTACTTAAACAAAAATAAATTCAGAGTGCCTCCACTCCACCATATAAGATTTGCTGGCACTACTACTAAGTAATACAGTTGATGTGGTTAAAGTTAAGACTTACTTACATTTCACGAAAACAAGTAATTCAATTAAAGTGTTAAGTTTAAGGTTATACAATATTTTCGGATGGATGTAAGTTAGGTCCATGAAAAACTTGGCATATTAATACACTCAAAAATAATCTTTGTACTCAATTTATGTTGTTTTTGGAGAACATATTTGACTTATAACATATCTTCATGTCCAACTTTTGCATGATCCATATACATGAGTGCTCCCCATAAGGATGATTTGGTAATTTCGGAACATCGCAAGCTACTTCGCATTGGTACTTAAACAAAAATAAATTCAGAGTGCCTCCACTCCACCATATAAGATTTGCTGGCACTACTACTAAGTAATACAGTTGATGTGGTTAAAGTTAAGACTTACTTACATTTCACGAAAACAAGTAATTCAATTAAAGTGTTAAGTTTAAGGTTATACAATATTTTCGGATGGATGTAAGTTAGGTCCATGAAAAACTTGGCATATTAATAAACTCAAAAATAATCTTTGTACTCAATTTATGTTGTTTTTGGAGAACATATTTGACTTATAACATATCTTCATGTCCAACTTTTGCATGATCCATATACATGAGTGCTCCCCATAAGGATGATTTGGTAATTTCGGAACATCGCAAGCTACTTCGCATTGGTACTTAAACAAAAATAAATTCGGAGTGCCTCCACATCCACCATATAAGATTTGCTGACACTTTTTGTCCTTAAAAACCCACCTCGGAAGATCGGCCATGCAATACCCCGATTCGCTAGGTGGGGCATCACACTTGTCTAAAAAGAAATTATTATTCTTGGAATATAGGACTTATTGAATGTTTGTAGATTCTCACGTTTATTGTAGGCAAGCGATAAAGTACAAGTGCCTACGAAATCTAGGACAATGATTATTAATTTGTAGTCCATTTTGTAGAACTTTATTCAAGTGGCTTTCAGTCACGGATTAATCTCTGTATTTGAGGATTAAGAAGCCCGGGTCTAACAGTTAAGCCCGAAATTTGAATTATACTGTAACTAAACTGATTGCTATTGTAGAAATTATAATAACTTTTCTATCAATAGTGAATAAGGGTTTGACGAATGGCAACATCAATATTACACTTCAAACATTTTTAACTCTTTTATTGATCACGTTTTAGATGTTGTTTTGGATGTGGATGTGGTTGCTTTGGATGTTTTGGATGCTGTTGAAGTTTTGTGTTTATGTTTCCTTGTAGTATGATTGTTTTTGTGTTTGTGATCTGTGTGTTTGTGCTTTGATTTTTTACTTAAACAATCTCTTTTGCATTTATATCTAAATAAAAATATGTTTGGAGTGGCTCCACATCCACCATAGATAATTCGCTGACATTTTTTATCCTTGAAGACCCACCTGTTAAGATGAGCCTTGCAGTTCCCTTTAACGCTGGGCTTAGCATCGCATCGCTCTTAAAATAAATAAATTTTGTAAATTATTGCAATAAGTTGTCGATTTTAGATTCGTACCTTTAATGTAGGCCATGGTTAAAGTGAAAAAGGCCACGCAAACTAGGAAAATGATAATTAATTTAGAGGCCATTTCGTGGCGTCGTATTTTAATTGTTGCGAGCTACTATTAAACTGCAATAGTATAGCTTGAGAAAGCCAAAACTTACGGTTAATAATATTCGAATTAAAGTGTAACTAATTCAATTTTAAATGCCCTAGTAAAGGGTAATATATATATATCTTAATTGCATTAAATAAATAATTTTCTACTCTACAAAGCATTGCATCACTAGCAACGGCGTGCTCGTCCTAGCTTCTTTCTAAAAATATAATATATTATTTAAGATATTTAAATTCATTTACAGAAAAGTACCTTTGTCGGAGGCAATTGTTGTAGAGCAAAATGACACAAGAACTAGGACAATTATAATTAATTTAAAGTCCACTTTGTACTGTCTTATGCTGGTGGCATCTAGCTACCGAGTAATAAAGGAAAAGTCGAAATAACCCTTTTTCTGACTTGAAAACAAAACTCATTAATTTTAACAATAGGATTTTGCAATATAACTAATTAAGATCTTTTGTGATTTTTATTTATAAACGTTATAGTCGCAGCGCTTCTTGACTGCAAGCTAAAGATATTTTGATATGATATTCTGTGGACTGGTATGGTCTAATACACAAAGCATCAGCCATCGCTTAACCTTTTTTGATGGCTATAAGATTGAATTGTTCGTTATTTAAAATACCAGCAGTTACAAGAGTAGCAGTACTCCGTGTCGTATACCTGAAATCGAAAAATCAGTTGGCATATAACCACTAACACTCGGCGCCTGACCACATTCACCGACACATTGACCCATAAACCGGCCGACCCATACCGACATGGCTGGGACTTTATTGATTCGCCATTATGTTTTTACATTTTGGCAGCCGAAACAGATTTTTAATGTCCCCTAAATCCATTTTGTTGGCCTCAATGGGCCAGCCAGTGGGGCGTAATCGCAATTTGTATGTCCCCGTACGTTAAGCGCGACTCTATTTACACTGGTTACTGTGGTCAGTTTGGGTTGATATGTACTTTTGTGGGGTTACACTGTGTTGGACTAGTAATAGTATACTAAATTTGGGATACTTTAAGCGGTTTTTAGATATGCAAATATGTTGTTCACTGGTGACGGGAGTACCAAGTAGAGTATACGGCACCGGAAGTCCATGGAAGGCGACTCATGTAAGAAGAATATTAAAACAATTTATTAAGCACTTGAATTTTAAAATTTTTTAAATTTCAAACATTTTAGAAAAAGTAATCCGTAAGGAATCCCAACATACAAGGCACAGCGAAGAGACAGATTCGTAAAGCCATTCAATAGGCGGAAACTGTATTTCAATTTGAACAGGTACCCAAACAAAAAAACGGCTGGGGAGAAATTTGTGGGAGAGTTATTTATATGGGGATATATGTAGTCGAGTTGCCTGTTCTTCCAATAAGCCATTGATACGTTAATGTATGTCCTGAACCCACTCCCGTTCTCTGTGTGTGCTTACGTGTGCATGTGCAAGTGTGTTTGTGTCAGCTTAAGTTGGCTTTTGAAGGATTTGTAGGAGTGAGCGCCGTGCCATGTTTATTTCCTGCCGGGAGTAGCTGGATTGCATTTATGAGGGTATTACGCATACGCACGGTTGGCTGTAAGCGGTTTTTCGCGTTTTATGACTGCAGCAAAGTCAAAAACAGTTATTTATGTTATGAAAATCAATAATTAGCTGGGCCAAAAAAGGGTTAATCTTTGGGGATTAGTAGATTTGGGAATCCCAAAAATAAATATTTATTATTATTGCACGACTGAGCAGGACCTTTGTGATTACAATAATAATACGGGGGTAAATAGTGCACTTAAAGACCTCTTTTAATTCCTATGCCACTCATTAATTAAACAAACATAGTCCAATCCAATGCACAAGAAGCAGAAACTATTGAGCGTAAACTTTGACCCCAAAAGGCTATTGTTCTGTGTCCTTTGTGAATCGAGTAGGCTTATCAAGCTCAAGACCCCTATCAGTGGCCATCCCCCACAAGCACATACAGTTCATTAACTAGACAAAGAAGGACGCATACATGGACGCCCACCCTAAATTGAAATCTATTGACAATGTAATTAATGGAAACTGAAAACAATTCGGGGCCAAAGTGCAAACATCAGCAACAGGATCAGCATCTGCAAGCAGGCAACACAAAGGTCCTGTTGTCTCAATGCAAATACCCACAAAAGTGACACGCCCCCAGCACCTCGATTTATCGTGGCAATTTCTACTCGCAATGTTTATTAGAAGCCCGAAATCGAAATACAAACATGAACCAGGCAAATATTTATATTTGACATTTTAGACAAATGCGCGACACAGCTGGGGAGAGGCCGGAATTCGATTTCACCGCGAGCTAATCCCCCCGAGAGGTGTCACCAGTTGGATCAATCAAATCAGGCAATGAGCCATATGGAGCACAGTCACCCACAAAAGTGTGGGGCACGCATCTGTGTGGCATCGGATTTCAGCAAAACTGTCAGAGTAAATCCACATCCAAACGAAAAGGGACCATTGTTCCATGCGGTGACTGGCATGTGTGTGCATAATGAGTGAAATCCCATCCGCATGCAAATGTGATTAATTACAGGTGCAGGCAGTGAGGAGAGTATACCTAGGGGTGAACCAGCAATACGATATGATATTGCCACTCCAAATCGATATACTATATATTAGCCAAAGCCCAAAGCCACAACGTAAACAAGCAGCGACAGGACAACCACAACAAGTCAACATCAAGTTTCCAGTCAAAAGAAAACTCTTCAAGTCTTTCTGGATATTTCTGTTTTGCCAGGCGAAGTCAAAAGACAAAAGTTCTTCAAAAACCGCGCTCGAAACTTCTTCAACTTTGGCCGCAGGACGCAAAAGCAGCAACAACCACAACAAGGAGCAACATTAACGGCAGCCAAGTGAAATGACAACAGCAATCGGCGCTCATAAAGTTCAGAAAGTTATGTTGTTATATTATACAGATATCGGTTGTTGGTTAAGGCCATCCCCCCCTACCCCATCCAGCGCTTCGACCATCCTCATTCATAGGAGAAAGTTTTATGTTTCGTTTCGAGAATTGATGCTGAAGGCTGTCAGCCGAGGGCGAAGGCCATTGACTGCGGTTTTTAAAGTCAAAGCCAGCGAAAGGGAAAATTTCCCCCAAGTTGACAATGGAAATGGGATAAGAATCGAAGCGACAGACGGGGGCGGGCTGAAAAGAAAGTGAGTTTCGCAGGTGTTTCCATTGTTATATAATATTATTACCGCTTCTTGGAAATTATTGAGAATGAAAGGTATCAGGAATTTGTAGGTAAGGAAATGGAAAACGAGTGAAATATACACAATTTATCGCATTAGCCGACAGGTTCTCCTAAGTATATGCAGAAAGCTAAAATTATTTTCTATTTAATGAAATTTTCCCATCAAAACAGAAGTTATCACATAATAAATTATGTTCGATATGTCAAATTATTATTAAATTTATGCTGTTGAAGGAAGGAACATTTTTACTTATAGACTCATTTTTTGTACAGCAAACAGAACTGAATAAATGGATATTACCGGGAAATTACTGAGAACCGCCAATGAAAAAATCAATGATGCTAAAATAGTTTTGGGAAACATTCCAGTTTAAACGAGAAGTCAACCAACATTCGTTTATGAAAGCTAATAAGCGGAATACGAGCACACCAAATATTGGACTGTTTCTGAGAAATCGCTAAGTGGTAATGAAAATACGTATAGCGTGGAAATATCCATTCCCATTCAGTTGCCATTAACCACAACCAACACTCGGGACCTCGACCATAAATATTTCATATATCGCTGCTTTTCGCCAGCAATTAGATTGCCGCAGTGCCAAATTTCGAGGAAAGTGAAGCGGAAGAGAAAGCGAAAACGGAAAACTGAACCCCACTCAGTCCGGAAAAATAATTTTCAATTTCATTTATGAAAGCAAATAAATTTTTCAATTGGTTTTATTCGGCCATTTTGAACCCCTTTCAGCCGCCCACTCTGCTTTCACTTTCGTTTTGGGGCTGTGAAACAAATAGACATTCCGAAGGGCCAGAAACAGACAAAATCAACTTCTTATAAAGCTGCTTTCTTTTGGGAATCCTTTTTACTTTCCGTATGTTTTCCCCTCTCGCTCAATGCCCAATAAAAGCCTGCTCAATGCCCGGCCCACGTAGAGGCCGTAAAATGGGGCGTGGCCAAGGTGTTTACCTGCCCGCCCACCTTATTCCTGCCAGGGACATTTAATAAGCAGCCTAAGCGAAGGCTCAACACACCGAAACTCTCTAAGGAAACTCAACTTGGCGGCCAAAGAAGCTGCGCTTGTGGTCTATGCATATTTCATACCTCAACGGCAGCTAATACCCGAAAACT